CACTGCTGCGATAAGAATGTTTTCCCTTGCTTCTTTGACATGATAGGAGAGAGAGAGCGAGAGAGCGAGCAGATGCTAATCCAAAGTCTTTTTTTCTCAGTAGGTAAATGATAATGGCGATCATCAACACAAACAGTTATTCTATATTCACTGATGAATGAAAGCCTCCCCGTGCCTCGGGTTACATGCAGTTATAATCCATCTTGCACCTAAATGCGCTATAATTCAATTTCCCCGTCTCTTTCCTGATTGCCCATCACCGGACTCTCTCTTCCCCTGTGCTGTCATTCTGTCACCCCGTCCGTCTATCGATCATCCGTTACAACTACTCATCCTCCACCCCCCGCCTCCCAAATAAAATGAAGAATATATGGATTTAATATTTTCTTCAGGCTGCCAATGCCAGTTTATATATCGTAACCCGCGCGGGTTTAATACAAGATTCTATATATATAATTATGAGCACACATATAAAACAACATGCGGCAAGATACACATAATATCGTCTCTGTGTTATGTTGTTTTTGCGCGCAGCGCGCGTGTGTGTGTGTGTGTTTCTAATAAGGCTCGTGTAATTGCGTTTGCATTGAATTTGCGTAACGATCATTTAGGCAGAAGCAGCGGTTTCAAGGTTTTCAGCCGACGACGGCCCATTATCATCATCATCATCCTCCACAATCCTCTGCCGCAGCTGTTCCCAACGAACCAGCGCTGTTCGTGAAAGTTCTCTTCGCTTGAGCGCTCCAGTCGGAGACGCGCGCGCGCGCCACACCGAGCACACCGGCAGAACTACACGCGCCACATTTTGCCACCACCCGACTCGACTGGCCCCCCTTCTCTTGCCGAGTCAACATCGTGACTCGTGAAGGAAACGAGACGTCCGTCGGAGGCAATGCAACGGCGAGTGGGCACACCTGGCAAGTGGGCACAGGCACCCCAGGTGAGGGGTTGAGGTGTGTGTGGGGGGGGGGAATGTTGTGCAGGACAGGTAATTGGCACGTAGGTAATGCAGATGTAGTTATTATTTTTTTTTTGCCACGTGCTATGGAAATACAGACGAGCCCTCTCCTCCTCTCTGTCTCTCTCTCTCTCTCTTGGCTACGTTGAAGCGCAACTTCCCCCCCCCCCAACTCCCACGGCTTTCTGAGATCGCTTCTTGTGTTGAATTTGTGGTAGGTCAAAAGACGATCCTCTGGCGATCCGAGATGCGTCTGTTCGAATTAAAGCACGTGGCGTGGTCGTTGCTGCAGGACACGTCAACTTGACACGTGCTTGACTCTCTGTGGCATTGCGTAAGCACGGAGGGGGTGGAGGGGAGGGTAACCTCCCGTGCCAAAGAACGCAATGTTTTGAATGCATCCAGATTCAAAGTGCAGGCGCGTGAGTTATGAACACCAATCATGTTCACTCACCTCTCGCCATATTCTCAACCGAAGGCGCGTTGACTGCTTAACAGCTGCTCATGAGAGCCATTGTACGCGATACAATAGATTATCCACTTATTTGCTTAACTTTAGATTAAATAATCAATTTAAGACACCTTTGTACTATGTGCCAAGGCAAAGGACACGTATATCCCGTATAGCGTTTAATAGACTGCTGGGGCAAGGGCTGTTAGCGAGCACCTATGAAGGCCGGCACGGTACACGAGGGGTGGGTGGCCAGCACCACGTCCCGGCCGTCTTTGTCTCCCCAGTGCGGATGTTTACACGCTGCGTCAGTTTAACACGTAGAAGGCTTTCGCGACCTATATCATCCGCTGCGTCAGCTACTTATTCTATAGCGAGTGGATCTAGGAAAAGCCCACTTATCCGTCACGTATTGGTCGTGAACGGGAATCGAACTTGGCTCTCCGACTTGGCAGCTTAGTGAGGCAACCACTGCACTACCCGCTTCTCATATTCTTGGGTTTTTTTCCGGTAAAGTCACGTAGGTAAAAAAATAAAAAAATAAAAGTAAAATAAAATTTAAATTAAAAAAATCACGACGTTTCGGAGGCAACACAAGCTTCCATCATGATTTTTTTTATTTATTTTTACTTTTAGTAATTTACATTTTTTACCTACGTGACTTTACCGAAAAAAAACCAAGAATATGAATCCTTGCAGTCACGAAAGCTTCAAATCTAGAATTAATAACCGCTTCTCCCTCTGTGTGTGTGCGCGTGTGTACGATGGGGACACACACACACACACAAACACACACTTCCCGGAGCTTAGAGTTGCCCTTGTCTTTTAGTCCAAGTCCCAATGTCATGCCCTACCGCACTCAAATTGTTATTGCAATAACAATAATTGGTGAGTGCCTTACAAAAAACATAAAGCTGGCTTCGTGCCCTTGATTAGATTTTATTTATCAGCCGCGTGCCACAGAAAAGAAAGCAACTTGCAGACGCAGCAAACTCGTTATACGTGCACACAATGCAGGCGCACTCCACAAATTAGATATGCATTCACAGAATTGTATTTAGCAATTTGCATTAATGGCCATTGTTCTCGGCTGGACGCGCGTCTGATATTAGTAAGACAATGGATTTCATCAAAATGCTTCATCTAATGAAACCCCATAGAATCCGGCACACCCGAGCAAATGTACCAGTCTGCCCCTCCTGGCGCAAATAGCAAAGCCACGGAAGACTTCGAATAAAACTCGTTTGCCCGCCGATGTACTCTCTGTGCTTCTGCTTCACACTTGCATTAGTGGCCGCACGCGAGCTCAAAGCGTTGAGCCTCTCGCTGACCTCTTCAACAGAGACAGTCCGATGTCAGCTACAATGCTGGCCTAGATTTACTAAGGCTAACTTGGAGGGGGGTGGGGGGGGGTCCATACTCTTAGTTCTTTCGGTAAAGTCACGTAGATAAAAATGAAAATTTTAATTTATAAAAAATAAAAACAATAAAATCACGACGTTTCGGAGGCAACACAAGCTTCCGTCTTCAGGTGAAACTGTCACAGCACAAAATATGTATCAAGTGGGGGGGGGGGGGTCCTCCCAGCAATGAGTATTTTATTTTTTGTTTGCCCCCTCTCTTTCGGCTATGTTGAAATACATTGACACTGTTGCGCCACTCTGAAATTTGACGGGGATGAAAACGCCTGTACGCACGTTTGCTGAACGAGTTTTTGTTCGCACAGTGCCGGAGCCAACAGCGCTTCAGCAAAGAGTCAAGCGTCTTCTTAGATTCACCACCTGGGCGTCGACACCTACATTTCGTAGGCAGCCTTTATTTTATTTGTTACAAAAGCTCTCCGTTATTTTCACGGTTTGTTTTCTTCTTTATGCGAGCTGTGAATTCCGGCAGATGATTCACCACTCTCATTCCGCACACCCGTGCCCTCATTTACCAGTCGCCTTCTTGCCTCTGCACATGTCACCGAGTACGATGTTGCAATTCGTTTATCCCTGTTTAGTGGTCGGCTAATGTCCCCATCAAAAATCGGGGTCTGCTTATTCATCTCTGTAGTTTGCTGTTGAAGTGAGCGTATGATCTCTACGTTGTAGCGTTTTGAGAACATTTGACGTATTCACTTGCATCTCTGATTTCATCATCCTTGATGACAGCAGTGTAAGAAGTGTAGCTGTAACCGCAAGCTACATTAGGAACCACTTGGTAATAACATCAGAGTGTAAGGGTCTATTTACCCCTTTGGTGTAAAAGGCTATCTACAATTGTCTTTGGGGCACCGCGGTGGTGAGATGTTAACGACCTCGCCTGGTATACAGGAGGTCGTGGTTTCGATCACGACCCTGACGCCTGCATATTTTGAGTGTGCGATGTCTCTCTCCCCGTGGTTGCGTGGATTTTTCTCCAGATCCTCCGTTCTCCCCCCCCGTCCCCCACATTTAGAATCAACATCACGCGTTTCAAGTATTTGTCTGCTATCCATTTTCCAGTGATAAGCCACTTCGTTGAGCTATCATTCGTGATAGCCAAGTCGCTTCTGAAAAATAGCTACATAGTTCTGTGGTACCTTACCTTGGTCAAATAAAAAAAATATATAGTTTGTGTTTTAGTAAATACACACGAGGGCACCTTCAAAATTAATTCCACGTGCTGGCCGATATTCTCTGCGCTTCGACTCTCACACTTGGAATGGTAGTGGTGACACTTCGCTGACCCCATCAATATTTTCCTACACGCCTGGTGCCCCCCCCCCTGCCCCCCCACCTACCAACGCTGGTATTTTCATGCGGAAAGTAAAAGAGCACGTGCAAACAAAGTGGAATGAGCCCGCTGCTCCTGGCTGCTCTGTTTAGTTTTACTCGGAGGACGTTGTTATGTAAGACCCAACACCGACAAGTGCCGTTCATGCACATTACGTTTTATACTCGATCACCTCCTCCACCCAGAACAATGTACGTGTGTACGTTGAACTTCTTTCGCACCGTACGTAATCGACCGTGCTAATCGGAGGTGCGGAGGAGGGGGGGGGGACAACTAACTAAGCACAAAAACTTGCTCTAAAGAAATTAGTTTTCAATCTAAAAAGAAATTCGTTTTCAATTTGAACAAGACAGACATTCGTCAACACATTGTTGTAGGGGAGGGTAAGCTTGAGCATTAGCAATATAAGAAGCATCGTTTAATATATCGTTATATATTTCACATCATTAGTTTACGCCCAGACGAAGCAAAAACTATCGTTATTTTTTTTCAAAAAATATTTTTTTTTTATAAATTTGACAAATGTCTGAAATGCAGTACAATCCTGTAACGGAAACACACCGAGTGATGCGACTCAGCGGCGTCTTTCTGAAAAGACAAAGCCCCGCACCGGTAGAGATATTGCTCACCGACCGTGCACTTTCCAAGCACACTTTGAGTCGCGTACACCAAAAAAAAAAGCGTAGCAACACCAACCCAGGGAAATGGACACTGGAGATGAACACTTAAAATGACCACTGTCGTTGGCGATGATTCGTACTGAAATAATACACACACACACAGACACACAAATTCACGATAGCAAGCGCTCAATACGGCTGTCGCACATCGTACCGTGCGCGAAAGCCGCTCGCGGTCCCTCCGCTTCTCACCTGTGCCGACTCGTGTCGATCGGGGTGGCTTGAGGCCACAGGCGTTGCGAACTCGCCTTGCTGGGATCTGTTTCACCTGAGCCCCGCGCTCACGGTCTAACGCTGGAGCTCACAGCCGGATATCGAACGGCACAACAACCCCCGTTGCCCTTCTCTATACCAGCAGCGGCAGCAGCAGTAGCAGCAGCAGCAAGCAGGCAGACGACATCTCACAACACAGCGAATCTCGTGCGGAGGAGCTGCGTGCACCGCGCGCGCGCACGCGTACGGCACATTTCACGAGAAGAGGCGCGCTGCATGTCGCGGTTACTGATCTCGCGTTGTGTTCGATTACTGATGCCGGTCGCCTCGCTTCGCCTTGCCTGCCTGCCTGGCTTCCCACCGCTCCTCCGCTTTGTGGATATGAGCGCTTGTTCCAAGCGGCTGGTGCGAGGGAGGAGGGAGGGGGGGGGGGTGGTTTTGATAGAGAGACCCCCAAGAGCCGGGTCGCACCTCCCGCAAGCTACGAAGCCTCCCAATTGCGTCGCGAGCAAAGGAACGATCGAACATTCACCTCGCTCTCTTCACACCCGCCCCGCCCGCCCGCCTTCTCGCTCGCTCGCTCTGTCTCTACCACCTCCCCCCCGCCCTCCTCTCTCTCTCTCTCGTCAGCACCACGCTCTCGGTTCCCTCTTTGCTGAAAGCGGTGGCGTGCGGGAAGAGCGAAAGGCGCGCCGGAAACTCGCGTCTCGAACGGCGACGTCAGCGAGTCGGACGCGCTCCGTCTCGGTTGGTGACGCTTCGTGCGCAACGCTTGAGCGGCGGTCGTCGCGATCGTCATTATCGCCATCATCACCACGAGTGGAACTTTGTTGTTGTTGTTGCTGTCCTTGTTTGTCTGCCGTGCATCGATTTATAGCGGCGGCGGTCGCGTGTTTTCAGCGTGTTCAATCACAGCGCCTTCGCACCGAACCACCGACGAAACAAAAAAAAACACCACGGTCGTGATTTGACGATTGGCAATAATATCGAGGATGATGATGATGGTGATGGGAGTGTAAAAGTTGCACAGCGGACGTGATGTTCCCAGGCACACTTTTTCCGTGTGCTTCTTCTTAACCGCAAAACACACGTGGCGCGCACGCCGCCGTGCGTGCCACACGCTGCGCTGAATATTAAGCAGCCGAGGGGGGCGGGGTGGAGGTCCCACATAGAGCCCCCCCCCCCTTTTTGACCCTTCAACCCCCCCTCTTTTAACCCTCCAGCCCCCCCCCCCATTTTTACCCCCCAGCCCCCCCCTCTTTTAACCCTCCAGGCCCCCCCCCCCATTTTTAACCCTCCAGCCCCCCCCTCTTTTAACCCTCCAGGCCTCCCCTCTTTTAACCTTCCAGCCCCCCCCTCTATTTTTAACCCCTAAGGCCAAGCCCCTTCTTTTAACCCTCCAGCCCCCCTCCTCTTTTAACCCTCCAGCCCCCCTCTTTTAACCCTCCAGCCCCCCCTCTTTTAACCCTCCAGCCCCCCCCTCTTTTAACCCTCCAGCCCCCCCTCTTTTAACCCTTCAGCCCCCCTATTTCAACCCTCTAGCCCCCCTCTTTTAAGTCTCCAGCCCCCCCTCTTTTAACCCTCCACCCCCCGTCGCTGGATTCTCTGTTAGAGCCACGCCAAGCTTTAACGCGGCCGTGGCGTGATTCCAAACGTTTGATTATTTCATTCGTATTTGAAGCGAACATCATTCGATGGAGTATAAGAATACATTTTGAGCTGCCCTAGGTCATTCTAATAGCCAGTTCTGACCGTGTACGTGCATAGAAGCATAACACCGTTGTGTCTACACATATAAATATATATTTTATAAAATGTGTTGTCCGTGAACCTATTTACTCGATTGATTTTCCACAGAAATATTCTCAAGAAAAAGCATTTTGTTCAAACAAGCAAAATTGTGGGGCCAGGTGTCGGCTTAATGGGTCCCACATCAGCAGACCCAGGCTTGTTAAACAAATGCTACTGCGTGAACAAATGTCACAGGTAAGAAGAGCAACGCTTCCTATAAACTAGGAGACCCTCGTTTAAGGAAGGGGAGGTGGGGTTTGCGGGAAGAAATAACAGCGTACAAGAGAGACGTATGTATAGGCAATACCTGCAGACCTGCCCTATGCAAGTCGGCGTGACCCATTGAATCGTCACGTGATTACAATCAGACGCGACTTAAGGGGGGAAGGGAGTGGGGGGACACGGTTAAACTACGCTCAGGGAGTTTTAGCTCGAACGCAGCGTTGGCGGTTAATCACGAGAAAGAACTCGAAATTCAACGCAAACTGCAATCCCAAGTCATTCAGGATCGGGTTCTCTTAATTTGTACGGCTGCTCGGCTCTCTGGTGAATATCGCACACGTGGCGTGTACGAAACGCGCCGTTACGAGCACAGTGAGACGCTGGGCTGTGAATGATGGCATGCACCCAGCTTAGGGGGCCGTCCATAAATGACGTCACGCGATTTTGGACTATTTTTGACCCCCCCATCCTCGTCACACGGCGCCACAAAAAGGCAGACCCCCCCCCCCCCCTCAAATATGACGTCACAAAGTTTTGCACCCCCCCTCCAAAAAAAACCATGCTTCAAATCGCTTTAAACTATTGTCATTGTAATGCGTATTTAATGTGGCGCTGCACTTTGATGTTGTCGGAGAAAACATTTATTAAAACGTCTATTTAATTAAGTAGAACGTGTTGTCTATATTTATTTAAAGTTGCGTATTTTTATGTGACGTCACATTTCTGAAACCCACCCCCCCTGGTAACACATCGTCACAAATGTCTGACCCCCCCCCTCCCCCGCTAGGTGCGTGACGTCATTTATGGACGGCCCCTTAACCCGAGTTCTATTCCCGGCCAGGAACCCAGACCCTCTTGCCTCGTCCCCAGCATCACCAACACGCACTGACCAGCGTGGTGAAGTATGGTCAGACGAACCCAGATGTACCACACTGCGTGCCGATGCCTTCACTATGCATATAACCACACCTTGTATAAGCACAGTTCTGATATAAGCAACACATTGCATGACACTGGTTTGGGGGAGGGGTGCAAAGAACACATTTTTATACGAGCACACCACTTCGGATATAAGCACACGTGTGCTTGCTCCTAAGGGGCGTGCTTATATCCAGCTTATTGTAGACCTTTCCTGTGTATTTATTTGTAAGGAAATAAACGCGCATTGGACGGTGTAACACTCGAGTCTTCTTTTGGCAGCCGTGTAAGACACGTGATGAATGAAAGGCAGAGCAAGAAAATCAAAACCCACCGATTCAATAAGAAACACAGCTCTCATAAATGATTCACCTAATGAGATATCAATATACGGCCGCACGAGACGCACGTCGAAGTTATAACTAAGGAAGGGTTGGCGTTCTTTTCTTGGCCCGTCCTCGACTTTAACGCACACGATGACTAGCGGAGAGCGGCGGTGCGGTGGTCAGACCCCGAGTTACGGTCGCCTGACCACGGGTACCATCGGTGGCGAGCGATAGCCAGGTCGTGAGCATTATGGTTACATTTTTTTTATTTAAAAAAATATAAATATGATCACACAGCTCCCGTGGCCGACAACAGAGTGGGCGGCCTTCAATTCAGCAGTGCATATTTATTTAATATATATAGAAACGAAATGTTAATATGATATATTCGAACACAAATTTGGTACGTGTAAGTAGAAACGTGCACGGGTGCATGGAGTGATACGGGGGGTGGTGGGGGGGGGCGGTACACGCGTGGACAGCCCACGTGGCTTGCCTGATTACAGCTCGCCAGAGGCTTTATATGGACACGCGGGCGAGTAAACACGTGAAATATTTAGGAACCCGCCCAAATCCAATACCCAACCGCAGAGAGCAAACGTGCACGCGTGTAATCTTATATGTTAAAAAAAAACATATCACTCAGCCATTTTCAATCCACTGCTGGATGAAGGACTCACCACTTCACGTCGGCCATGCGGCTGTTTCTTTTTAACCATCCATCACCTTGCATGTGTATAAGTTTCGTAGGGGGGTTTCATTTTTGCTTTGCGTGAATTCAGTGGCAAGTGATATCTGCGCCGGTCTCGAGAATCACCTTCGCCAACCAACACGCGCACACAAGTGTGGTCAAGCCAACGCACGTGACCATCTCACGGCGCGGGGAGGCGCCTTCATCCGGCAGAGGAATTACTTTATAAATCGGACGATTTAATATTCCGAATGTATGCGACTTACACCCCCTCTCGCATAGCAGCCACGTATTGCCTCGCGGCAGTTTCGTGGATGGGGGCGACAACGATAGCCTGAACAGAGAGACACATTAGCCGACACTGTGTTGGCCTACGATGAGCATATGCTACTTGCATAGTGTAAACAGACATGTCTGCACATCGCTCATTAATGCACAGTACACGGGGGTAGGGGCTGGTCCCTCTTGGGATTTATTGCGAAATAAACAAACTAGTAACACGGTAAGACGTGGTGATAAGCGCTGTTTCCCCCCTTCACCACCACCACCACCGTCCACCCCATCCCCTCCCCCTCCATCTCGCTCTCTCTCTCGCTCTCTGGGATAATTTCTCTTGTTGCGTCGTCAAGTGCGTGTCACCTGGCAGAACTCGCGCTGTGTGGCCGAGGGGTCCTTCCTCCTCGTGATGACGCCGCAATGCGACCTTTCAAAATAAACGGCTGCCCTCCGCCTAAAGGATCAGATTATTTATTTATTCTGGAGGAATCCGATGAGCTATGAAGCTCTTTTTTTTCTACAGATGTCCAGTAGGGGGCACGGGGTCAGAACGGTTACAACACACAGTACAAAGACACGAAAGGAGTGCAAAGGATAGGGAAGGTAAGCATATCACACAAAAAAAACAACTAAATATTAAAAATGTTTTACCAGGTAACGCCCAGAGCCATCGCCTTCTTTTTCAGAAGAGACCTGGCCACAAATCATAGCTCAACGAAGTGGCTTATCACGTGTGGAAATGTAAAGCGACCAAATAATGGAAATAATTAATCTAACACGGCACGGGCACACCTTATTTTGCAGGGTGACTGATTGCTTTGCGCGAGCTCAGAGGCGCTGCTGCTGCTGCTGCTGAGACTCAACATGGTCGAAATCGGTCCAGAGGTTTTTGCCGATTGATGATGTTGGTTTGGAAAGGCATAATGGTGATGGATGCAAATAATATATAAATATGGTTTGTCTGTATACACGGAGAGAGACAGATTAATTACATGCGGTGCTGCCTATATTTGCAGTTACCCGCATGGCTTCACGACCGCGCAGAACGAGTTTGTGTGCGGTGCTGCTTATCGCGTTAAATGTGTTTCCCGTGTGTTTTTTTTTTACGGGATGCTCTTTCCAGTAACATCTGTACATCCGTCAGCATATTTTTTTCTTAATAAACCTGCTGATGGGACCCAGAGGGTCAAAACCAGTCAACCCCGAGCTATAAATGCTCCGATACGTGCATAGTTCTTGTACCGTTTCGCCTTTTGGCTT